CATTAAGCCCCCCCCCCCCACCCCCCTCCTGCAATCCCTGCTGGGCTTTCCAGAGGTTCCTCCCCATCCCCATGGACACCTGGGGACCAGCCAGGCTCAGTGTGTCTGAGCTCGTGGGGGGAGGTTCCCCCCCCTCGGAGCAGTTTCTCTCTCAGCCTCCAACTTCTTTTTTCCATGAATTCCTCACCCTCCCTCCCCCTCCCCATCCCGTCTGGAAATGCAAACCCAGACGTCTCCAGGCACATCTGCACACATCTGGGCTGCTGTTTGGATCATCCACCATCTGGTTTGGGGGAGGGGGGGGCTGGGTTTTTTGAGCTGTTACCTGGATCAGACAGCTCAAAAGCCAGACCTTGACATTGAACCACCTGGTGATGCCACCTGGAAACCACCCCGTGAGGCTTCAGCATTGGCCCCTTGTACCCTCCTTCATCAGAACATCCACCCCTCCAGCTCCAGTTGGAGACATCCCAGGAAAAGTGGCTGGGAAAAGAGCCTTCAGCTGGTGGCTGCATCCTCCTGCCTCCCACCCTGGTGGCCTCCAACTCCATGGCCCATCTCAGCTGCCCTGAACAGGACACAGCCATAAAGCAAGTGATTCTATGGGCCAGCAGGCAGTTTTGTTGGTTAATTATCCTCTTTGCTAATGAGGGCACAGTTAAGCACCTTCAAAATGAAGGGTTGGCTGGACCTTCTCCCAAAGACTGATGCAAAGGTGGGAAGTGGGGGTGGAGAAGCCATGGGGAGGTGATGGGTGCTGACAGTGGGTACTGGTCACAGGGAGATGATGGGTGCTGACAGTGGGTACTGGTCACAGGGAGGTGATGGGTGCTGACAGTGGGTACTGGTCATGGGGAGGTGATGGGTGCTGACAGTGGGTACTGGTCACAGGGAGGTGATGGGTGCTGACAGTGGGTACTGGTCACAGGGAGGTGATGGGTGCTGACAGTGGGTACTGGTCATGGGGAGGTGATGGGTGCTGACAGTGGGTACTGGTCACAGGGAGGTGATGGGTGCTGACAGTGGGTACTGGTCATGGGGAGGTGATGGGTGCTGACAATGGGTACTGGTCACAGGGAGGTGATGGGTGCTGACAATGGGTACTGGTCACAGGGAGGTGATGGGTGCTGAGAATGGGTACTGGTCACAGGGAGGTGATGGGTGCTGATGACTGGGAGGTGGGTGCTGGTGGAAAGACAGTGGGGAAGCAAAACCCTCTGGCTTCTCAGCACTACAGGACACCCAACCCTTTCATCCTTAGCAAAGTGACCCAGGGTGCCCCCCCAACCCAGCCCACCCTCATTTTAGACCTCAAACAACTCCCTCCATCCCTGGAACAAACACCTTCAACCCCCCTGGGCTTGGAGAACACCCAATTAGCTGGTGGTGGTTGCTTCTCCCAGCTTGGGCTCCAGCCCAACTCCTTCTCCTCTTGGCTCCTCCCTCAGCTGCCCGGGGCTCTTTCACAGCAATTTGGATCCCACCTCCTTCCTCTGGAGCAGCCCAACCAGCGAGGACAATTAGACAATTAAGGAGCAGCTCGTTGCACAAGAGGAGCTGCCAGGACCTCCCTGAAACCCTCCCCAGGGTGAGCAGTTCTGTGCTCCTCACCACGCAGGTTCCTCCCAGCAACTGGGACATCTCACCTGCCCAGGGTTCCTTCCAGATGAGGTTTTCCTGAAGACACTGATTCCCCTCCCACCTGGAGAAGCCATTATCCCACATGTTCATCAGTTGTCCCACTGGGTTGGCTTCTGTTTTGTGGCCTTCCCTCCAAACCCTACATCTCTGATTCCTCACTGGGTTAAACTGGGTTAAACTGGTGCCATTTTCCTGTAGCTGAGGAAGTCAAACTGCCTTCTGCTGGGGAGCCTCGTGATCTGGTCCATCAGCACCTTGGCCCAGCTGGTGAAGGTCACTTGAGTGTTATGGGCACATAGGGAAGAGGGTTGGATGGTTGGAGGAACATGTAGATGGATGGGAATGGGAATGGGAATGGGAATGGGAATGCATGGATGGATGGACAGAGGCATGGACAGATGGCTGGAGGGATGGGTAGTTGTCTGGATGGATGGTTGGGCAACTGGAGGTATGAGTGGGTGAGCAGATGGATGGATGGATGAGAATGTGGTTGGGTGGATGGATACACATATGGTTGGGTGGTGGGATGGATGGATGGATGGATGGATGGATGGATGGATGGATGGATGGATGGATGGATGATGAAAAGAAAGAGCCCTTGTCACCCTGTGCCCCCTGCTGTGCAAGATGATTACAAAAGCAAGGAGTCCCTCAGGACAGGGTTAACCCTCACCCAGCCCCAGGGTTAACCCCTGACTAACCAGGGCAGGACTCATGACACCACTTACCAGATGAACCACGTCAGCTGCCCTGGGGCTGTTTGGAGCCCAGAAGAGCAGTCCTGGCCGACTCAGGTCTCATCACCAGGGAGAACATCAGCTCCAGGCAAGCAGGCTCTGCCTGGACCTGCAGGAAGGAACCCCAGGAACCTGCCTCCCTGGGCAGGTTTGACACAGCTGTGGTGGCCCTGGGGCTGGGGGGATGAAGGGAGGTCCTTCTCCCCTCTCTGTGCAGGGCTTTTCTGCAACTTCAGTCCCCCCACCCCCCAAAAAAAAATGACCTTAGAGCAGCCAAACCCAAGATGTCTCACCTTCCCCTCCCTGAAACCAGCCCAGCTACAGGGAAATCCCCTTCACTGAGGGCTTTGCTCAGAGCTGACCCCACAAAGTGCCACCAGCAGAGCAAGAAGGGCACCAGCTGAGGTGGCCCAAGGGGGCCCTGCTTCTCCAGCACCCCAAAACAGGGGGGGGTGACCCACTCCTGCTGCCCCCATCCCACCTCTCTGCCTTCTCCTCCTCCTCCTCATCCAGGGAGCTCCAAGGAAGGAGGGAGGAGGTTCCATCCCACCTGTCCCCACCTTGTCTCCTCCTCATCCAGGGAGCTCCAAGGAAGGAGGGAGGAGGTTCCATCCCACCTGTCCCCACCTTGTCTCCTCCTCATCCAGGGAGCTCCAAGGAAGGAGGGAGGAGGTTCCATCCCACCTGTCCCCACCTTGTCTCCTCCTCATCCAGGGAGCTCCAAGGAAGGAGGGAGGAGGTTCCATCCCACCTGTCTCCACCTCCTCCTCATCCAGGGAGCTCCAAGGAAGGAGGGAGGAGGTTCCATCCCACCTGTCCCCACCTTGTCTCCTCCTCATCCAGGGAGCTCCAAGGAAGGAGGGAGGAGGTTCCATCCCACCTGTCCCCACCTTGTCTCCTCCTCATCCAGGGAGCTCCAAGGAAGGGGGGAGGAGGTTCCATCCCACCTGTCTCCACCTTCCTCCTCCTCACCCTGGGAGCCCCAGGGAAGGGGAAGCACCATGGCTGAGCAGCTGTCGGAGGAGAAGATCTCGGAACTCAAAGAAGCCTTTTCCCTCTTCGACCAGGACGGGGATGGACGGATCAGCAGCAGGGAACTGGGCACAGTCCTGAGGTCCCTGGGCCACAACCCCAGCCAGGCTGAACTGCGGGAACTGCTGGGGGACGTGGGCACCGAGGGCACCGTCGACTTCCCGGAGTTCCTGTCGCTGCTGGCGAGGAAGAGGAGGGAGCCGGAGGGTGAGGAGGAGATCAGGGAGGCCTTCCAGGTGTTCGACAAGGAAGGCAGCGGGTGGGTGAGCGTGGAGGAGCTGAGGCACGTCCTGACCCACCTGGGGGAGAAGCTGACGGAGCAGGAGGTGGACGAGATGCTCCGGGAGGCCGACGGGGACGGCGACGGGCGGGTCAAGTACGAGGAGTTCGTCAGGGTGATGATGGAGAAGTGAGGTGGGTGTGTTTGTGGGTGTGTTTGTGTCCCCCCTCCCTCCCCCAGCCAAACCACCTCCTGCAGCCGCAGGGATGGAATCACAGACTGGTTTGGGTGGGAAGGGACCTTAAACCCACCCAGTCCCCCCCTCCTGCCATGCCCAGGGACACCTCCCACCAGACCAGGTTGCTCCAAGCCCCATCCAACCTGCCCTTCAACACTGCCAGGGATGGGGCAGCCACAGCTTCCCTGGGACAACCAGGGTCTCACCTGGATGCAGCTCCCAGCCCAAATCCACCTCCAGGGAAAGCCCCAGACCGAGGAGTCCACCCCAAACCTTGCAATCCCCACCATCCCAAACCACCTCCTGCCCTGCAGCTCTTGCTGCTGGTTGGACAAGTCAGAACTCCTGGTCCTTTTTAGGATTGTTTGGTTTTTTTTTTCCCTTCTAATTTTTCTTCCCTTTCTTTGCAGGGAGCAGGAGGTCCTGGTGACTCCCCAACCCCTCCCACCCTCTGCTGCCTCCTCCCCACCACCCCACGCTGGATTTCCCCATGGCCACCACCACGTCCCCCAGCACCAAAAAAGAAACATCCTCCCCCTCCCTCTCCATGGCTGCCTGTCCTTCCTTCAGCTTCACTTTTGGGGTCCTTGCTAAAAAAAAAAACCCAACACACCCCAAAATCACCCACACGGGTGAGCCCTGGCCAGGGTCCCCCCACTCCCACATTCTCATCCTCTTCTCCCTCCCAAGTTGGGAAAGATGCCCCCTGAGTTTCCCGACCCACAGCCCCCCTGGGCTTCTGGCCCTTCCCACCTCCAGCCTCCATCACTTTTGGGGTCTCCTCTCTCTCTTTGGACACCCCCAGACCCTTTTCCACACCCCCCCTGATCCCCAAGCTCAGAGGAGAGTTGGGACCTGGATCTGACCCTAATCCCCAAGACTCAGGGTCACCTTCCCTGCCCTCCATCCACCCCCATCACCTTCCCCGTGACTCAGTTTCCCCACAAAGAGGATGAAACCCAATTGCAGCAGCTCCCTCCGGGCTGGGGTGGTTCCCTCCTCAGAGCTTTGGAGAAGAATTAATTATAACGAGGTTCATTAAAGCTCAGGCACTAACGAGCAAGCAGGGAGGTGGCACCAAATGGGTCGTGGTTGCTTCCCAGGGGACATCCTGGCTCTGGAGATCATCAAGGACTTTGCCCCCCACCACTTCCAGCCCATCCCTGGAGCTGGGATTTTTGGCAATCCTGGCTGGTTTTCCCAACTCTGGGAACACTGGGCAGGTCCCTGCAGGGTGGGGAGGGGGGAGCTGAGCACACCCAGGCTGGTTCCACCCCAGGCAGGGACTCCAGCCCAACAGTCAGAACTTTCTCCACACCCACCCAGCCTGGAGCTCTGCAGGGGATGGGGTCTCAGACCCACATCTGGGGGGGGGACCTGGGATGGGTTCTGGGGGATCATTTATTGTGGGACCTGGTGTGGGGCTCAAAGCTGGATGAAAAATCCTCCTATGGAAAAAAAAAAAAAGGCCCATAGAACCATGGAAGGGTTCAAAGATCATCCAGTTCCAACCCCTGCATGGGCAGGGCCCCCTCCCACCATCCCAGGCTGCTCCAAGCCCCATCCAACCTGCCCTTCAACACCCCCAGGGATGGGGCAGCCACAGCTTTTCTGGCCAACCTGGGCCAGGGTCTCCCCACCCTCACAGCCCAGAATTTCTCCCTCACATCTCAGCTCCAGCTCCCTCTGCCAGCTGGAAACCCTTCCCCCTGCTCCCATCCCTCCCTGCCCTTGTCCCAAGCCCCTCCCCAGCTTTCCTGGAGCCCCTTCAGGCACTGGAAGCTGCTCTAAGGTCTCCCTGGAGCCTTCTCTTCTCCAGGCTCAACACCCCAACTCTCCCAGCCTGGCTCCAAAGCAGAGCTGCTCCAGCCCTCCCAGCATCTCCGGGGCCTCCTCTGGCCTCTCTCCAACAGCTCCATGTCCTTCTGGTGTTGGGGACCCCAGAGGTGGCCCCAGCCCTGCAGGGGGGTCTCAGCAAAGCAGAGGAGAGGGGACAATCCCCTCCCTGGCCCTGCTGGTCACCCTGCTGGTGACAGCCCAGGACAGGGTCACCCCGTGTCTCAGCACAAACCCAAACTCACTATTTTTAGTTTTGATCTTTTCTCCCTCGATTCTGGGGCTGTTTCTCTATCAGTGTTTGTCATGTCACCCCCCCCAGATGGATTTTTGCTAATGCTGGCCCTGAACAGCAGGATGGGCCCTGAAGCACCAGCCCCAGCATCAGTGACACCAGCCCTGAGAAGGTTTGTTTGTGGGTTTGCCCATTTCTCCCCCAATTTGATGCTCAGAAGAGCAGTGGGATGGTTTCCATCAGCATCATCTGGGATGGATGGATGGAGGGATGGATGGATGGATGGATGGATGGATGGATGGATGGATGGAGGGATGGATGGATGATGGATGGAGGGATGGAGGGAGGGATGGATGGAGGGATGGATGGAGGGATGGATGATGGATGGATGGATGTGTAAAGGGGGAGAGCATCCATGTCCACCCCAAAACCTGGTCAGGATGGTCTCCTGCACCTGGGTTTGGAGACTGTGCAGGGTGGGATCTGTGGTTGGGGTCACCTGTGATGGGTCCTACAGGATCAGCTACTGTGGAACCTGAGGTGGGGTTCACTTGGGATGGATCCTAAGGGATCATCTAGTGTAGGACCTGGGATGGGTCCTGGGGAACCACCTAGTGTGGGACCTGGAGTTGGGGTCACTTGGGATAGTTCTTGGGGGATCACCTAAGGGGGGGACTGGGAGGGGAGTCACCCAGGATGGGACATGGGGGACCCTCTAGGATGTTCCTTGGGGGTTTATCCCAAACGAGTCCTGGGAGATTCACTGGAATAAGACCTGGTGGATCATCTAAGATGGGACCTGGGAGGAGGTCACCTGGAATGGCAGCCTGGGGATCACTTGGGATGGGGCTTGGAGGATCCTCCACACAACTGGAGATTTAGGATGGGACCTGGAGGGGGGGGGGGGGTCATCTAGGATGGCAACTGGGAGATCATCTAAGATGGGACCTGATGAGGGACCAGGTGGAGCAGCTGATGATCACTTAGAATGGACCATGGGGGAATCACCTGGAAGGTGGGAACCTCAGGGATTTGGGGGTTCTAAGATGGTAGATGAGGATCATCCAGGATGGGACACAGAGTGTCCTGCAGGATGGGGTGTGGAGGATCCCTTGGGATGGGACTGGGGGGGGTGGGATCTCCTAGATCCAGACTGTAGCTGATCCCACCACTGACAACTCATCTCCCACCACTTTTCCAAGTAATTTTCCTCCAGCCTTTCCAACCAAAAAAAAAGCCACCAAGGCCTCCAGCACCACCCAAAACCAGGGACCCAACTGCTCACAGTTCTGCTTCATCTGGACACCTTTTTTTTTTCTCTAAAATGACCCTTTCCAGGAGAAAAGCAGCTCAGGAACCTCCCTCCCCAGCACCACCCACCATGGGGGGAGAGGGACCTGGAGCTGCTTCTACTCCAGAGCTCCTGGATCCACCAGAAATTCTCCCTGTTGCTTTTCCCTA